AACAGTGATTTCGTCTACCCTCATCACCATCCAAACTTCATCACACGGTTACAGTTATCCGATAGTGTTTCAATTTAAATTTTTGTTTTACTAATCAGAATGATCTGAAATTTGAAATATGTGCACATCTCAGTGAGGCACAGTTAATAAAATTATGAAAAAAATAATTCGCGAAATATAAATTAATCAAAATACCCTTGTAAATTTTCGGAGGTATTTTGGTCAATTTATATTTTGTAAATTATTTTTTCATATTTTTATTAGGTGTGCCTCACCAAGATGTACATACGTTCCAAATTTCAAGTAATGTGGATTTGTAGAAAAAAATATGAAAAATGAAACACTACCGAACAACTGTGATCGTGCGATAAAATTTGGATGGTGATGAGGGTAGGTGAAATCACTATTCATTTTTTCCTATAGGCATCGGGAAGATTTTTCTATATATATATCAAGGTTTTAAGGTCATAACAATCAAGATTAAAGACAAATGCAAAATGCAAAAAATTTGAGACAGAAGGAATCAAACTCTACACGAATTTCTATGACATTTGAAGAAACCAATTGCAAATGAATCACTATCAATGATCAACTTAATAATTACACAAGAAAGATAGAAAGAAAAAATTCCCACAACAAACAAAGCCAAAGCTTAGAAGCATTGTAGGATCAAAAGTGACGGATCGCTCTCTATGACTAAGCTTAAACACTGCTTAAAAGACAGTTAGAGAGAGAAAGTCGACCTCGTTCTTCAGCCTGAGTGAAGTTGATGATGAGTTGGCAGAATCGAGGATGCAAGCCGGCCTCGTTCTTCAACTTGAACACGATGGGTTTGTACAGTCTTTAAGGCAAGAGCTCCAAGTTTCACCAGTAGGAGAACCATCTCCAGACGAACACTGGATTGGCGGTTTTAGAGAGAGAAAGAGAGTTTTTCTTTTCATCAGAGAGAGAGATCAAGAGGGGTCAATGGAGAGCGCAGAGCGGACGAAAGAGAAAGCAGGAACGTGCTTAGACGTTGGAGTTTAGATAGAGAGAAGGAGAGCGTGGCTTGGGGAGAGGAAGTAAGCTCCTGAAATTTGAGATAGGGTAGGTTAGCAGAGAATACCAAATGAGAGGAGTATGGGGTGAAAATTTTATCGGTTTGAACCTTTTTTCTTTGCCGTGCGATTTGGTTTTAAGCCGATCACAACCGCGAGTTTCCCCAAAATTAAACAGACGGTTGATGGTAGTGGGGCGAGATCACTATTCCCTATCGCCTATAGGCGTTGGAAAGACTTTTCTTATATATATATATATATATATATATATGTTGTCACCCCGTGGGTTGACCATAGTCGGCAAATTGGCGATTAATCGCCGATTTTTTCAAAAAATTGGAGGGTTTTTGAAAAACGTTTAAACCGGCATTTTTTTGAAAAGTTCGTCAAGAAAACACGTTTTATTCATAATAACATTAAAAGCATGGTTTTTTGCAGAACGAATTAAACGGGACCAAAAAAACATGTTTTTTCTTGTAATTTTTTTTAAAGAGAAACAACTTTTTTCCTGATATGTGTAATTTCTTAAAAATATCCCAAAATGGAAATTTTATCCCTAAGGATTGTTAGGACTTAGGGTTTATTATCTTAGGGTTTGTGCTCAAATCATGTTATTTTTCTTCAAAACAGCATTTACAGATTGAAAGTATGATTATTTTTATTTTTATTTTTTCTTTTTAACTTAACATGTCGATGCAGATTTCAGTAGTTACTGTGCAAAGAAAATACTATTTACTTGCAAATCATTTTGTAAAGGAAATTATTGTGTAAAGAAAATGTGGTCGGATATGAAAAGTCGTTCTTTCCTCAATGTTGTTGCATCTTGTCCAAAGGGATTAGTTTTTATAAATGCATTTGAAGTATTTGAGCATAGCATAACTGGATTATTTCTTGAAAAGATTATTGTTTAATCATTGAGGAGTTATGACAAAAATACGTTCATCTTGTGACTGACAATGGATCAAATTATGTACTTGCTGGTGATCTAATAGAATCGAGATTCTCTCATATTTATAAAATACGGTGTGCTACCCATGGGTTGAATTTGCTTTTAAAAGACATTAATAAAAATGTTATTTGGGTACAAAATGTCATTAAGGATGCTAAATTAATAGTAGATTTTATGCAATGGCATAACATTGTTTTAGATTTAATGAGAAAGCACACTAATGGAAGGGAATTGAAAAAATGTGGTAAAACTAGATTTGCCATTAACTTTTTGATAGTTTAATTTGTACTGTAAGTAGAAGAGGGTTTGAGAGTGATGGTTGCATCCTCTGAGTGGAGAGCTATGAATTATAGCAAGAGTAAACATGGTACAAAAATCACATAAAGAATTCAAAACTCCTAAATTTTGCAATGATGACACAAATGCAATCACTATATTAGCACCTCTTATTAAGGTGCTTCGTTTGGGTGATAATGAGGGGTCCACCAAGAGATATTTATGTGAAGCAATGGAAAAGGCAAAGGAAGCACTAAAGAGAAATTGTAATGGCAATGAATCTAGATATCTTGAATTGATGAAGATATTTGAAAAGAGGCGAAAGAGAAATATAATTCTTCATGCTGCTGTTGTATTTTTTAATCCAATTTTAATGTATGTCAGATTTGTTAAACTTGATAATCCTGAATTGAAGGCTGACTTGACCTTGATTGCAAATTCAATGATCCAGGTGAGAAATTGTAATGACAATGAATCTAGAAATCTTGAATTAGTGAAGATATTGGAAAAGAGGTGAAAGAGAAATATAATTCACCTTATTCATGTCGCTGTCGCATTTCTTAATCTAACTTTAATGTATGGTAGGTTTGTTAAACTTGATAATCCTGAAGTGAAGGTTCGCTTTACCTTGATTTCAAATTCAATGATCCAGACAGAATAGAAAATTGTATTCTTTTAAGAGTTGTTGAAGTACCATATGCGGGATTCAAATATATTTGATGGTGTTGCATTGAGATTATTGTCAACAACTCATCCTCGTAAGTATCTTATTGATTATTAGTTTTTTGTATCTTTTTATATTATTTATTTTTTCAGTATTTTAAGAAAATAAATTTTATCCCATTTTTAATTGTATCTTGAGTATGTGGCTAAAAATTTCTTATTATGTAGGGGTTTGGTGGGAAGTATGTGGAAAAAGCATTCCACTAGTTCAACTAGTTGTCATTCGGAGTTTGAGCCAACCATATAGCTCATCAGCGTGCGAAAGAAATTGGAGTGCTTTTGAGATGACTCAAACCAAAACAATGAATAGATTGACACCAACTATGTTAACCGACTTGGTTTACATACGAGTGAATTCGAAGATGAGGGCTGCATTGCGTGAAAATGAAATTCGAGATTGTAATGTAATTAATCTTGAACAACTTGATTTCTTGCTAGAAGAGGTTTTTGAATAGGCGAAAAATGATGACACATCTCCACATGATGATGATGATTCATGGCTACATGACTCAGGGATTACACCTTCCCAAACTCCTAACTTTTTTTTTGACTACCATGCCTTATGCTTAAGTTTGAATAATTCTAATTAATTATGTATTTAACATTGGATGATTGGATGAGAGTCATGAGACATGTATATTAATTGACTTAATTATATTAGGCTAGTAAAGTTTTCATGGATGGATTAGTTATTGATGGCATTGATATAATTTTTATTTTTTAGAATTTCAGAATTTCTAACATTTTAAGTTATCCGATTTTTTGAGCCTAATCCGATATATTGCCAATATCTTTACATGAAGTATTTTTCCCGATCTGTATTTTTTACCCAATTTTTTCATCCAAATTTTTAAAATAAAAACATTTCTTTTCGATTTTATGGTAAATCGATTTATTGATAGTCCCCGACTTGCTAACTATGGGGTTGACTGCTACAGTGGTAGCCAATGGCCCATATTGATTATGAGCCGATCTGACGGTAGCGACCTTATTTCATTTTCTTTCTACAAATCCAAATCACTTATAAATTTAGGAGTACATTCTACTCATCAATGTGCACCTAATAAATATATATAAAAAATAATTTGTAAAATATAAATCAACCAAAATACCTCGAAAAATTTTGAAGGCATTTTGGTTAATTTATATTTTTTGAATTATTTTTTTAATATTTTTATTAAATTATACTTTTTTAAAAAAATATACGCTCAAAATTTCAAGAGATTTAGTTTTTGATAAAAAAAATAGAAATTCAAATATGAAATGAGATTGTGACCATTACATTAAGCCCATATTAAATTTGGGCGGTTGGCTGACACTGTAACTGTCAACCCGTGGGCTGACAGGATCTTTTCGATACACACACACACACACATACACACACACACACAAACGTTACAAAATCATTCAGAAAAAATAAAATAAAAACTCCACCAGACTTACCTTTATAGCCCCCATCTAAAGAGAAAAGGAGAAATTGGTTTTGGAGAAATTGGTTTTGATATAAAAAAAAAAAATTTATCTAGTATTGAAACGTTCATGAAACCAATCAAAGATTCATATCAGTGCTCCGACAGTTTCAAAGTTTAATCGACTGACCATCTCCCATTGCATATTGGATGCTTAGTCTCAATTCTTAAGTCAAGGAGAGGGACTCGATGGTGTCAACTAGTATAGCCATCCATGATTGTTCTAGTCCTTCTGGATGGGGACTCGATGGTGTCAACTAGTGCAGCAATCCATGATTGTTCAAGTCCTTTTGGATGGGGATCCACATGGCAAACTCAACTCTTCACTGGATAGTGGAGGGAACAATGGTACCTGATCTTTCTCCCATAAGCTCTTGCCTTCTGTAGTGGGAGACGAGGGTTTCTCATTCTGCTGCTGCTCTTCCAATATCTTTTGTATGTATCGAGCCTGAGCTTCCATACGTAGTTGCAAATGCCTTTGCACCTGTAAGAAGAAACCAACTTCATAAGAAGAAACCAACTTCATAACAATCAGGAAAATTTTGCCCATACATACATGAACCCATGCCAAAGAGTGTTAACTGGTTTTGTGTAGAAAAGGAAACTAATGCTATGGCAATAGGATGAATAATCACCCATCAAAATCTAAATTACGTCTATAATCTCCAAGATTTTGTAGCATTTAATCCGAGCCATTAATCAAATCCAACATTTACAAATGATTCTGATTGAAAAATGGATTGCTTCACAGGGAAGGTATGATAGATATAGAATGCATTATCAATATAATCCAATTGTTTCTCGAACTTCTGGTCATCTATCAATATAATCCAATTGTTTCTCGAACTTCTGCTCATCTCTTAAAATATAAACATCACATCCATCTCAAATCAAAATTCTGGGAGAAATGAAGATTATTATACTAATTATCAAACTTCAGAAATACTCTAGTGACACCAATACCGTGATGTGTCTTTTGTGAATATGCAGGATTTATGCAGCAAAAATCACTAGAAGAAATGAGGACCGATGTTTCAATATTAAAAAAAAAAATTTCATCATCTCTCTACTGCCTCTACAATTAGATCTAACCTACCTCTCTCAAAAAACTCTTAGAAAATGTTTAGACTTGTTATTTCTAAATATAGAAAATCAGTAAGATAAGGTTAGCGCACAGAATATTATGTATGTACTGGATACTTGCATCTGTGAGGCTCTCTGTCGCCCTTTACTAATGACTGTTATCCTAAACCAGGAGTGTGGAGTGTAACTCATCAAGACTTTCATTTAAAGTTCAAGCTTATTCAAAGTTCAAGGTTCTACATTTTACTGGAGAAAATAACATTTCTTTTCCCTTTTCTCTCTTTCTTTTTTTTGGTTAAGAGAAAGACATATACATCTCATGGAGCTGTAGCTTCTCGAGGTGTAGCTCAATAACCTTTAGGTCTTTTTCATCTCCTTTTCCTTATGTCTGCGAAGTGGTGCTAATTGTGGAGTCATGCAGCTAAATAAGAACTGTTGTTCCCTGGCAAGGCACAGAAAAGATATAACAAGCATGCCAAAGTAGGGAGATGCTCGTAACCAGGCATGTGAGTAGCGCAGAGCTCTGATTCTGACACCTGAGGTTGGACATTGAAATCCATGCTGCCAAATCCAAAAAATAAAGAAAAGCGAGTATGTAACTAAGGTGGATCACCACATTGATGTAAACCACATGATGGAGTATCTCCCATTTGATTGGAGGTGAGTATTCGGTCCATCAGGTAAATGAAGTAGATAATGCTTCAGTCCGTATTACACAAGGAACACACTTGACAGAAATAAATGTCCTAGTCATTTCAATAAGGTGATGGTGGTTGAAGAAAGAAATATCCTGACATTTTATTTGAGGTGTAAGTGAAAGTGCTAATTTATAATATTAAAAGCACGAAAAGCATATGAATTGAATAGGCACTTTCCCACTGAATCAGATATAAGATATTAATGGGCTTCTTAAACTACAAGGAAAACAAGGTAGGGAACTATCTAAAAATTTCTAAGGTTTCATATTTGAGTCTTAAGGAAATTTTTCTTAGAGAGAAAAGCCATCAACAGTGAGGATAGTTCTTCCAATGGAATAAAACTTGGGAAAAGGCCTCTCTATAACTAAATACACCTTTTAGATGAAAAATTTCATTTTTGTGAGGTACATTGAGGACTTTGAATTTCAAGTACAGATTTCCCATGCATACCACTGAAAATATTTGAGGCAACCAACAAAAATATACTGTTGGAAAAAAAGGTGTTAATAAATGTGGGATGCGGACTTGATGCGGTTGGGGCTCTGATGTGGGATGCGTCTCGAAGTGGTCCCAATGCAGGCACATATGCGGTGATGTGGTCAATAAATTTAAGAAAAATTTGAAAGATCATAAAAATATAGAAGATTTCAAATGTGTGATTTATGTAACAGTAAGGATTTCAATTTAGTACTTTTCACTAATATGCCTATTCGACTTGCCTAATAATCTGATCAAGAGTAACATAGTTTACAGTCTTACATGTGAAGTACTATAAAGTAATTCATTCCACCCCAATTGTAACAAAATTAAAAATTCAACATAGCATCCAAAGATCAAAAATACTTTTTATTTCTTTTTTTTTTGTCTTACAAGTGAAGTACTATAAAGTAATTCATTCCACCCCAATTGTAACAAAATTAAAAATTCAACATAGCATCCAAAGATCAAAATTACTTTTTATCTCTTTTTTTTTTTTGTTTTTCTTTTTAACTGTCAAAGACCAAAAATACTTCACAAACAACTAGTTTGTGACCACAACTTCACAGCAACAACCTAAACATACAAACCCAAATTCAAAAGAAATTTCGGTTTCTTGGATTTAATCTCATAGGCCTTGAACACTTCGAATACTATCGTCACTAGAAAACTTTCAAAATGAAGCCCAAAATAATATCAATCCACAGAATATTCAAGAACAAATCCAAATTTGTTTTTCTGAAATTTTGGAAGCACAATAAAAATTCTTTATTTTATTTTTTATTTCAATCCCCTTTCTAGGGGTTTTTGGGGGACTTACATAACCCCAAAACTTGGTCTAAGAAGGGTGAGGACCTTAAAATTTTCCTTAACCCCAGCCAACATAAAACTTTGCCAAAACTTTCCATTACCCAACCCCAAATAGATGCAAAAAAGGCTCTGATGATGAGATATCTCGCAAACTGTTCCTCCCTTTTGGAGGAGGGAATTATAATGTTGCGCCAGCTCATAGGCAGATCCCCACTTGTGGATGATGTAGCCCATGCGGCCGATGCATCTGCATATGCAGTTAATGCGCTGCATATGCCGCTGCATCATGAAATCCTGCATATGCCATTCAGGGCGATGCGTGCATGGCAGCAAAACGCAATATGTGGCCACATAATGTGTTATGCGGCCACATTGTATAAGAGAGGGAAAAAATCAGTTTTCCAACAATGAATCTTTAGTAAAACATGGAGTTGGGCTATGTGTTATTTCCCACAAGCTAGGTTGGTTTGGCGCACACACATTGTTACTAGTAAGGCTGGGGCCTCCTAGTCTTATCATTTCTATTTCTAGAGGAATTAAAATTTATGCAGGGACAAGGGGTAAAAAAGAAGAAAAATAAAACTTAAGACATTTTCATTATTTCAATAATAGTTATAGCAGGACTGAAATGTCCTCATGAGATTCGACATTACACGAGAAGAATGAGCATGACCAAAATTCCGCAGCAAACTAATAATCATACCAATACTTATTATCCTCACAAACACATGGGAATGATTATGGAGTGCAGATGTATTAAGTGCAACCGAAGCACTAAAGCACAATACATATGATATATATATGCAAAGAGAATGGTTGCCAAGAAGAGTGGGGATTAGGGATGGCTTTATGAAGGCATCAGGCAACGATGAGGATATGACAGCATACCTCTGCTTGCTCATTCAGCCGCTTTTGCACTTCTATTTGCATCTGCAAGGCCTCATCAATGTCAAGTCTCCTGAAATCATGTCAATTATAAAACATAATCACTATATGCATACAATAATTTGTATTCATCATCATGTGATATGTTCGACAATAATAATAAATCACTAATTTTTATGATTTCAGTTAAGCGCAACGAAGAACAACTCAGAATTTTAGAGAATGTGAAGAATTAAACTTGCATTGCATCAGCTCTCACATTTAGTGTGCAGAAACAAAGGATGCCCATGCAAAGTTCTTCTACTAGCCAAAACATATATTCAGGAAGACAAAATTCCACACAGTTAAACAATTTATTTTAGAGAATGTGAAGAATTAAACTTGCATTGCATCAGCTCTCACATTTAGTGTGCAGAAACAAAGGATGCCCATGCAAAGTTCTTCTACTAGCCAAAACATATATTCAGGAAGACAAAATTCCACACAGTTAAACAATTTTTTGTAAGGAATAATAACCCTCCCACCAACCCAAACAAACAACCGAGCAAAGTAACTTCTTTGGCCCCACACCCCACTCTTGAATATCACATTAAGGCATTGAGAATTGGTTTTGTGCTTTGCGTGATTCCAGTGCATCTTGTAGTCCAAAATTCTAATCC